GATGGCTGTAAGCATATGAAATGACCATATGGACTGAAATAATTTAGATGCATAGCTAAAGGAAAGATGCTGCTACAGCAACAAAGTAGCTTCCATAATACAAAGTAAAAAGGATGAAAATCAGCTAACTGGATTAGGTGCAAATAGCTTTTCACATCTTCCTAATGAAAGTAAGGGCAATTGGGGAGCAAAGACCACCTGGTAAAAAAACTGCTGCTAAAAACTAATTAGTGGACTCTGATTAGTTCTCAGATCAGCCAATCTGAATGTTATCACATACATGTGACATTAAGAAAATTTAAGTAAAAATTCTGGAAAAAATAGGAGGACTAGAAAATAAAAAATTTAGAAGACGTGACCACAAAAATAGGAAGAAATGGTTTTGTCTCCCTAAATCTGCAACCGCTGAAGAATTAGAAACATGAACACGAATAAAGAGCAGTGAGAAACTTTTTGAAAAAAAAACCTTAACTGACAAACAACAACCCTTTGTGATGTTCAGAGAAACCTGGGAAACAAACTAAAGCAGATGTAATACATATTCTATTAAAAACTGGAAACCATTCTGCAACACTTGAAATAGCTTAGCTGTTTTTCCTCAAAGAATGTTCTGTCACAAAGTATACTTTTTTTGGAATTGAACGTGGTGTAGATATGAAGCAGGATAGGCCAATTTTCTAATAGGAAGTGGTAACTGGTCATGGTACAGAGGCAAACTCCTACCCAATGTCATATGTTAGCTACTAGAATTTATCACCTCCATAAATAAAGTTTAAGTTACAAAAAAAGACACATTGAATTGTTTTACTCTACTGAAATTATTGTCAATAGACATGAACCAGGAAAAAAAATATTACCAAGAAATGATGCTGCAAAGCGCAAAGGAAAATACATTTCTGGAAAACAACAACAAAAGCTCAAAGCCAAAACAGAACAGATAAGGACCGGCAAGAAGTGGAAAAAGTTCTCCTGTCCGCTGCTTTTCCTACCCTACTCACTGAGCTCTGGGCTAACTGATGCAACACAGTATCGTCGTTTCTGTTGATTACTTACGGTAGGTAACGCTTTGTAAACCCCTTTCAGTAGTAACATAGCTTATATCTTCAGATGAAATGGCAAATTGGTAACAATCAGAGCAAAGGCAGGAGGTCATTTGTTCACAAGTGCTCTCCTCCACTTCAATTGCTGGGAAGCTGGGTAGATTGCTGCTTACTGAGCAACCAGCTACAACAGTCAATACCCAGATGACCTATGAAGGCAGTACAGGTCATTCTTTGGAGGTGCCTAGGGACATCTTCAAGAAGCTTCAATTACTTGACTCTGAGCAACTCCTGAGCAATTCAAGCCCATAAGTATAATCAAGGACACAGAAGCGTAGGTGTATTCTATTGGTTCCAAGACAATTTGTTTTAAAACAAAGTACTTTTTGTCAATTTGTCAAAATCCTTCATGAACTAGGAGTGAAGTTCCAGTGACCATGTTGCACTACCGGAGCACAGGTATGAGGAACGATGGCTCACTCCAGCAAAGGCTCGCTGGCTAACAAACACTGAGACACAGCCACTGCCTGTATGGTTTGGATTCAGTCCATTTACCGACAGATAATAAGAAACGTCTCTTTGCAACCACCTTGTTTTCCTAAGACAAGTCACAGTGGACAACTGCAAAACAAGGAGAGGAGCTGAATTCAGAAACATGCCCAAGTCTTGAAATTAAGCAAGAAAAGATACTGAACAGCCCAAATACCTCCCCTGCTGTAAGGTTCTTGTACTTAAATACTAGAATGTTACGCACATCTAAATTGATCAGTTGATATAACTGCCGTACTCCATAGAAGGCGCATACTTC